ATATGTCAAGGTCAAGGTCATCGGGGCGGGCTCCCCTCATCGATATATGTTAGAGGATCGTTTTAAGTATAAGTTAAACTGCCGCGTTGCTGGCGGATGAATACAGGATAGATAGCCTGCGATACTTTTTTGCTTTCCGTGGATTCGATGTACGCCTCGCCACCAGGCGGTGCGGGGCTCTCTCTCGCTAACCGACAGAAGTTACGAGTCGGTTATTGCGTGCTCTAATTAAACCAGTAAGTTTAGTTATTAATCACTGGAGACTTTTCTGTAAGAGCCTAGCCTTTTATTCCTGATCGATCCCTAATCACGTGAGGATATAACAATATATTTACCACGAATTTTTACCACGTAATTACGGAAATATAAGCGTTCAAAGTTGGTCAATTTGACATTAGAGTATATGAACGACATGTGCACAATTGTAATTTACGAGATTTTACGAGTATTTTAAAAAAGATTGACGTTTGGAAAACAGAAGATCTTATCAATTAAATTAAACTATTACGAGTGATTAAAAAAAACGTTAGTTTACCATTGCAATAAAAAGATATTCAATATTAAAGCAAACGAAATGTAGCTAATAGAGCAGCTCTGGTTAGTCGGCCATCAAAACTTGGCAACCGCGCGGACCGCACCTAATTTCACTATCGGCGCCAACAATACGACGGCCTTCGATGATACAATCGGAGAGATCTTCGTTTTGCACTTTTCGTCGCTTACATGCTATACTCAAATTTTCTTTCCACTTTATTTTTCGTTTCGTAGAAAACTGGCCGTTTTTATCGCGAATACGAGTAGCCGGCGTTGCCATAGTTTCGTGTTGTATACAACACAAGTCAAAATGTGGTTAGCAGTCTTACCAATATCGAAATATTGCAACGTTGCCACGTTTCGGTCGTAATTTCGATGTGATAAAAATTATAATTATTTATACAATTAATGACCAGAAAGTTATTTTTTATCATATTATTATGATAATTGAGAAACTTAGGACTATATTGTAACCAGTCTTTTAGATTTTTTATTACAGTCGTTTCGACAAATGTGAAGTTGGTACCAGCGTGTAAGACACTTCGTTTTTAATTAACTAGAACAACACAAGCGCGCGCGAAGCGCGCGCCATTTTTCTTCCACATTATATTAAATTATTAGAACATTAAAATATTATATTGCGCACGCCAATTAATATTATTCTCTTTTTTTGAGTTTTCTATCATTTTTAATAAATTTCACTTTTAGTCACTATCACTATCATTTTCATTCATTCTACATGTATATCACGTTCCTTTTAAATAAATCTCAAAATCTGGCTTATTCAAAATTATTCTCTCTTATCCTGATAATTTTTATTTATTTAACTTTGTTTTTACTATACACTTTTATCTTCAACTATTCTTTTGCATTAGATCCCATCCTATCATTGTCTCACATTTTTTACAACATATCAAAAAGTCTAGCTTATTCAATATAATTCTTTCTTATCTAGATAGGTTTTATTTATTTGATTTTATTTTTAATTTAAAGGAAAAAATCAACTATGTATACACGGTGAATCTTAATGCCTGCCCCAGCCTTTTACCATGAGAAATGGATTACCGATTGCAATTTTAGTTCACCGAACGGCACAAGAAGGGCAGCTGCTTAAATCTCAGGCAAGTTGAAAACTTGTTCCACTTACAGACATCACGCGGGGAAAAATAATTTGCTAACACAATATATCTTATGTAAATTTAAGTAAATTTTGTCTTTTATTTTATGATAAAGTTATTTTCTGTTTTATGGACAACTGTGTGTTAAAAACACTAATCTTATTGAAAAATAATTGTGCAAAATATTTAGCTAAAGAAGTAAAATAATTTCTGTTCCATTAAACGTTCTGCTGTAATGGTGAATAATTTTAATAAGGTATAATAAAGCAATTTTCGTATCGTCATCACGTTATTATCAAATATGGCAGTATTTAAGTAGCAGCAACAGTTTTGCTGCAATAGCAAAATTATTTTTTTCCGTGCGTATTATTGAAAGTCTATAAGTATGAAATAATGTTTGGTGTAGAAATAATAAACTTTCTTTTTCGTGTAAGCAAACTTTATTTTTACTCTTTGTTTATTATTTCTACACCACACATTATTTCATACTTATAGACTTTCAATAATACGCACGGAAAAAAATAATTTTGCTATTGCAGCAAAACTGTTGCTGCTACTTAAATACTGCCATATTTGATAATAACGTGATGACGATACGAAAATTGCTTTATTATACCTTATTAAAATTATTCACCATTACAGCAGAACGTTTAATGGAACAGAAATTATTTTACTTCTTTAGCTAAATATTTTGCACAATTATTTTTCAATAAGATTAGTGTTTTTAACACACAGTTGTCCATAAAACAGAAAATAACTTTATCATAAAATAAAAGACAAAATTTACTTAAATTTACACCCAGGTAGCAGACGGACGTCATTTAGACATCAAAAATTGGTCCCTAACTGACCACTATTGACGCCACTAATTGACGTCTCCAAGACGTCAAAATGACGGTCTAATGCCACAGATAATTGGCGTCACAAAAATGACCATATTTTGACGTCATTTTGATTAATATTATGACGTTATTAATGTAATTAATAGGTTATTAATTAATATATACATATAGGTAAATAATAAATGTACATATATACAAAGGTAAAATTTATTATATTTTTTATTACAATACATGTAAAATTTTTATAAATTGATAATTATCAAATAAACTAAAATATATTATACTAATATACAATACGTATTATCAAATAAAATATAAACTTAATAGCTATAATAAGAACTTAAGTTTAATTATTGAAACAGCTTATCAATCATATTGCATATTCTACTTTCACAAATATAATTCAAAGTATTAATAAAAAAATTAATCAATGTTATGTATGATTGGAAAACATACGTAAGTATTATCATCAATATAAGGTACTACAATACATTTGTTACCAATGAGACTATAAATAGGCCATACCTTTAAGTCACTTAAATCTTTGAGAACATATATATTAAGTAGTGATGAATCGCATGGATATAAATATAATGGGGACTGTTTAATAAAATATTTTCCAATAAGAAAGATATAGCCCTTTGTTGTTTTCACAATATTATCCACATAGCACAAATTACTGTTTGCCGGCTAATAGTCGACATTTTTTAGTTACCTTGAAGACAACTTTTTAAGTGGACATTTAGTCTACTATCTATAGGATGGTTTATTGTCGACATTTTCAGGAAGTTTAAAGTCGCCTTTCGGTAAAGCGAAAAATTAACTAAAAAATATTTTTTCGGCAAAGTGCAAAAATGTGTAAAAAGTATCTTTTTGGCCAATCTTTCTGGTCAATATGTCGAACAGATATATAGCGAATCGACGTCTCACTTTCCGCGTGTAGCGCGATAGTCGCGACATGCATGCTCCTTGCTTGTTCGTGAATTATCAGTGTCTTCCTGATAGACGACAATAGTATTTGGACATAAGATGAGTCATATTTTTCGCGTGGCTATCGAATTAATACGATTTAATGTGTCGATTAATACAAGTTAATCAAGGAAACCTGTCAAATTTGTCAAAAATATAAAAGCATAATTAAATAATATAATATATACTCTGGTTTATTGTCTGTTTTTTTATTAAGACATATGCTCATTATAATTATTATTTAAGTTTAATTGGAGCATTTTCAAAGACTTGATCAATATAATTTTATTATTTCTTAATTGTATTATATGTATATTGTAAATATTATACAATTAAAATATAAAAACTTTAATCATTCAGGTTTTCAAGATGTCACTATTAAACATTTAGTAGTTAATATAAATAACGTAAAATTGATTAAAAGTTGACTTCTAATTGCCATAAAGTAGACTTCTGATCGCCATAAAATAGACTTCTAATCATCATAAAGTTGACTTTTAATTGCCATAAAGTCGACTTTTAAGGCTGACTGACAGCCGACTATAGTCGAGTCATTTGTCGACTATTAGTTGACTATAAGTTGACATTCAGCTTGACTTTGAAGTCGATTTTAGACTTCTGCTGCCGACTGACAGTCAACTAATAGTCGACTTGGTGCTGTTTGGGTATGTATTTCTATTACTTCTGTATTGCCTCTCAAATTACAATAAGTGTCTGCAATACTGTAGTGATTGATGGAAAATGACAAGTTTGCGAAATTAATTCTTTTATATTGTTTGTACCATTGGTAAGAATTATAGTTTAATAAAGGCCCATTTATATGTTCCATATGAACAAAATGTTTAACTTTGACAAAATTTTTTAAGTCACACTTATTTAATTTTAATGAAGAATTGATTTCTTGTAATCGACGATGTATTTGTTGTAATGGATTATTAGAAAATTTTAGTAATTTCTTTAAATGACCGAGGTAATTCTCAAATGGAAACGCCGAATATTCATCTAAAGAGCCATAAATTTCGTCGTCATTATAACGTCATTCGAAAGACTTACATATGACGGTAATTTTTTTGTCATTTGACGTCATTCGGACGAACCTGACTAGTATTTGACGTCAAAATGACGTCCGTCTGCTACCTGGGCATAAGATATACTGTGCTAGCAAATTATTTTTCTCCGCGTGATATCTGTAAGTGGAACAAGTTTTCAACTTGCCTGCAACATTCCTGAGATTTAAGCAGCTGCCCTCTTGTACCGTTCGGTGAACTAAAATTGCAGTCGGTAATCCATTTCTCATGGTAAAAGGCTGGGGCAGGCATTAAGATTCACCCTGTATGTTTCTTTTAACTTGTTTATTATCTCGCTGATTACCAAGATAAACTTTTAATGCTTGCCAAGTACGAACGCATGAAAAGGCAAATAAAGTTGTCCATGATTAAAAACATCTTTGCGAAGATCTATTCCTACTTTGTCAAATATTTGTCCCTGTGACTTATTAATTGTCATCGCAAAAGCTAATTTTATCGTTTCTTCCTCCTCCTTTCTCTATCTTCCCTTTCTTCTCCTTCTTCATACACATAACATAAACTGTCAAAATAACCCTCTTAAATACAAACTGTCGAAACAACAAGTCAAAGTGAACGACTCGCAACGAGATCGAAACATAAACTGTCAAAATAACCCTCTTAAATACAAACTGTCAAAACCGCGAGTCGAAGAGAACGACTCGCAACAAGATCGACACTCGATCGAGTTTCGAGGGAGCCAATCGGCATCGCGGAAAAGCGACAACAATGAACTCGCAATGCCTTTTTTAGATAGGGACTTCTGAACTGAGCGTTTTAAGTATGAAAATGTTTTGCTATGCGGTCCGCTTCTTATCCTGGTATTAGTTTGTGCATAAAAACCAATAAAAAGATTTACAAGTGTAAAAACTATATTCAAATGTGTCGGCAAAAAGATGACTTTAGGATCCTCTTAATAGTGAAAAAAAGTTGATTTCTAGCATTATTTCTTTTTGTTTGTTCAATTTTAAATTTATTTATACACTGCTCAAAAGAAATATGGCATAGAAAAATTTTATGCAAAAATTGGTCAACTTTGACTGACGGTAACTCCGCAAAAAATCATCGTAAAATTATGTTCTTTTTTTTTAAGTAAAGCTTGAAATCTCTACTTTAAGATACTATAGTTATTTTTTAGGTGTGATGCATCCCTACCACTGTAACACCTTAAATGTGAGGGCATGTTTGTTATATTGAAAATTGCAAAGTTTGACGGAGTGCATGGGCTAGGTACATTTTTTTTCGGGGATACTGTTTGCAGGAACGTAAAGTACAAACCTTCCTCTTCAATTTAAAAAAAAAAGCGAGTCGCTATCATTTTTTTTCGCAAGGACACAGTACTTTAAAGTAACCCTTGCATTATTGGCATATACCGCCGGTATTGGCATTACCCGATGTGCGCCCCTGAAAAGAGCCGTTTGTGTGTGTGTGTGTCTGTGTGTGTGTGCGCGTGCGTGTGCGTGTGCGTGTGTGTGCGTGCGTGTGTGCGT